CCCCCCCCCCCCCCCTGCAATGTCACTGCAGCAGCACGCAAGCATCCTGCAGCAGCGCTGCAGCAGTCTTTCCTTCAATCGCTTCGCCGTGCATGAATGCCGCCTAACGGGTGCAGCAAACTCGCGGGCCTAGTGTTCTCAAAAAAAATGCCTCTTCGGCACGAAATGCTGTGGCGCTGGCGCCCCTGCAGCAGCACAGCATCAGTCTTTCTGCTGCTGCGAGCGTTCGGGTGTCTGCACACTCCCAGATTAAAATGGAGGCAGATTAGCGACCGTAGCGCCGCCATTACTCGCTGCCTGCTTCCCTCCCCGTAGGCCCCCCTCACGCCCAGCAGGGCCAACCCAGCAGAGAGAGGCCACCCTGCTGCTGCTACCGGCAGCAGGGCGGAAGTGGCAACAAAATACCTCTAGAAGAAGCTCGCACGTGTTCTGTGTCAGTGTCGTCTGCACTGCAACGTTCCGGGCTTGGTGGTGAAGCGGGGTGCACTGTTGCTTCTTTTGCGACTGCGTTTTTGGGGTTTCATTCAGTCATTCAACAGTGCAGCAGTTGAAAAATGCGTCTGTTGCAGCTCCAGCTGCTGCTGCAGCAGCCGAAGCAAACGGCACCGCTGCTGCAGTCTAAAGCTTCTTGCCAGCTTCTCCTCCGCCCCGTAGTCCTTACTCCCCAGCACCTTCCACTGCTGCCTGTTGCTGCCCTCTAGCCGCCCCCTTCTCTGGGTGAAGTCTTTGTTTCGAGGGACTGCTACAGCAGCTGTTGTAGCAGCACTAGCAGCCGCAGGTGCGGTTGCAGCTGCAGCAGCAGACAGAGCTTCCTGCTGTATGCATGTTTGACGATGGCTGCTGCTGCGCCTTCTTTCACGTGCTGCGTGCGTGACATATGTGCTGCTATGTTTGCTGTTTATCTTCCCCTCTCGTCTCTCTGACACCCTTTTGCCGTTGCTGCTGCCGCTGCTGCAGCGCCCGCCATGTTTGGGGGGTGTTCTCCCTCTGTCTTTTTTGTCTTTCCTCCCTTCTTTCTCCTTCTTCGCATTCCGTTTTACAATTTGAGCCTCATCTGTACCTCTTCGTTCTGGTATCCTGATTCTTCTGCTGCTTTCGCTACTGCTTCTGCTGCTTTGTCTGCGGGTCCGCCGCCCGTGTCGGCATTCCTTGGAAGGCAGATGAACAGCTGCTGCGAGCATTTGCAACAAATGCTGACCTGATGCTTCCTGGTGGTGCTGCAGTGGCCTTTGCTCCTGCTGCTCAGCTGCTGTCACTTTCACGGTTGGTAGTGAGGCCACTTGGACTCCAGCAGCCAGGTCCGTACTTGGCTGCTGCTGCTCTCGCAGCAGCAGCTGCAGATAGGCGGGTTGAGGCTGCTTTCCCTGTTCGTGCTGCGGCACGTACAGCTGTTTGTGGTGCTGCAGCAACAGATGCTGCTGGAGACAGCCCGAACATGCCGCAAGTGCAGCAGCAGACACAGAAGGGCTAACGAAGGGAATCTGCAAACAGTAGCAATGGTTGCTGTTACTGCTGCTGTTGCAGGTTGGAAGCGGCTGCAGCACACATTCCTGTGGAAAGTGACGAAATGCCTGCGGCACTTCGCAAGTAGAGGACGCTTCTGCTGCTGCTCGCTGTAGGGCCGCTGCTGCAGACGCGAAATTAGCAAACATTTGGCTGCCCCTACATGCGTCAACGCGGTCAGCAGTTACTGCAGCAGGTGCAGCTACTGCAGCAACCGGGGCAGATACTGTGGAAGCACGAGCAGCTACTTCAACAGCAGGAGCAGCTCCTGTAGCAGCAGGAGCATCTACTGCAGCAGCAGGAGCCACTATAGCAGCAGGAGCAGGTGCTGCAGCAGCAGGAGCAGCTACTGCACCAGCAGGAGCAGCTCCTGTAGGAAGTGAAGCCGTTACTGTAGCGGCATGAGCGGCTACTGCTTCACTGGGAGCAGCTACTGCACCAGCAGGAGCAGCCACTGCACCAGCAGCGGCAGCTACTGCAGCAGAAGGGGCAGTTACTGCAGCAGCAGGAGCAGCTACTGTAGAACTAGGAACGGCTACTGCACCAGCAGGAGCAGCTGCAGTTAAACTAGGAGCAGCTGCTGCACCAGCAGGAGCAGCTACTTCAAAAGCAGGAGCAGATACTGTAGCAACAGAAGAAGGTACTGCAGCAGTCGGAACAGCTACGGCGGCAGCAGGAGCAGCTTCTTCAAAAGCAGGAGCAGCTAATGCAGCACCAGGAGCAGGCACTGCAGCAGCAGGAGCAGGTACTGAGGCAGCAGGAGCAGCTACTTCAAAAGCAGGAGCAGCTACTGAGGCAGCAGGATCAGCTGCTGCACCAGCAGGAGCAGCTAATGCTGCAACAGGAGCAGCTGCAGCAGCAGGAGTAACTAATGCAGTAGCAGGAGCAGCTACTGCTGCAGTAGGAGCAGCCGCTGCAGCAGCAGCTACTCCAAAAGCAGGAGCAGTTAGAGCAGTTGCTGCAGCGGCAACGGGAGAGACTCGTGGTGCAGCAGGCGCAGCCACCTCGGAGACAGAATGAGTTGGGACAGCAGCATCAACGGCTGCAGCAGTAGGAGCTGTGATTACAACTGCGGGAAATTCCACTGCATTTGGAGGTATGGCTGCTGTTGCTGCCGCTTCTGGTGTTGCTGCACAGGCAGCTGCGTCAGGTACGCCTGCTACCTCCAGCCGAGCCCGCTGTATTGTTGCAGCGCAAGCGAGAAGAGACTCAGCAGCATCTGTGGCAGTAATCCCCACAACGCCGCATGCGTCCACAGGGCTTGTTGACGCTGCGGCTTGCATCTCGTCACTCTCAACAGCATCCGGGTCTGCTGCAGATGCTCCTGTAGCTCCTGATGGCAGCTCAAGAACTACCGCCTCTGAACCCGCAGCATTGGCGTTACCTGTTGCTGATGCTACTGTATATCCTACAAATTCGTTTGGTGTTGAATTCAACTCTGCTACTGGGTCCGCTTGAGCTGCTTGTGCTGCTGCTGCTCTTGCTGCTGGTCCTGTTGCTCCTGGTGCTGCTGAATTAATTAGTGCCGGAGACGCCGCAGCAACCTCGTCAAAATTCTCCGTTGATACAGGATATCCTGTTACTGCTGTCGATTCTATTAACTGAGGTAGTTGTGCTGCTGCTGCATCGTTGACCCATCCCCCGCTTGGTGATTCGGGAGCATCCTGCTCTCCCTGCTGCTGCTGCTGCGACTGCTGCTGCTTTTCCTGCTGTTGCTGCAACTGCTGCTTCCGGAAAGATTCTGTTGTAGCATGGTTCTCCGCGGTTACGAGCTGAGCTGTTTCCTCTGTGGCAGCTCCAATCATGTGCTGCTGTTGCCGCTGTTGCTGTTCATCCTCTTGTGATCGAACCCGCTTTGCTGCTTCATCCCCATTGTCCCCACAACTCCCGTCAGGGCGCAGGCGTGCCGTCTCGTCCTGTTGCTGCTGCTGTTGCTGCAGTTGCTTCTGCCCTACCAACGGCTTCTGTTGCTTCTGTTGCGAGGGCTGCGCTGCTCCGGCCTCTCCCTTACGCTGCGGTTCCACCTCTCGCTGCAGCGTCCAATTAGCACTTATGCTTCGGTATCTTTGGGGTTGCCGGTGCTGCTGCGCCAGCTCGTGCTGCTGCTTTACCTGGCGTGTCAGATCATCTACGTAGTCAGTGTCCCTGTGACGCTGCTGCTGCCGTTGCTGCTGCTGTTCTTCCTTCGGCGACTCTGTCTCAGACGCAGATAGGCCTTCTTCGCCTAGTCGCCGGCGTCGCTGCTGCATCTGCTGGGGCAGCACCTGCTGCAGCTGTTGGGGAGAGGCATCGAGGGCAAACTCCGAGGGAGACCGCGGGTGGCAGGACGAGTCAGGGGACAGGCGGAAGAGGAGGCTGTCATTTAGAGGCAATGCCTCTGCTTTTGTTGCTGCTGTTGCCGTTGCTGCTGCTGCCGCTGCTGCTACTGTCGTTGTTGCTTGTACTGTATCTGCTGCTGTCGCTGCTGGTGCTGCTGCGTCGTCTTGCACAGCATCAGCCGCAACAGACGAATCCAGGGCAAACTGTGCGAAGGGGGATTCGCAAAAATCTGCTTCTGCTGGCAACTGCCTTTCAGTCACCCCAAATGCAAGTTGCCGATGCTGTCTTTGCTGCTGTTGCTGCAGCTGCTGCTGGTTCGAACGAGAATGACCTTCCTGCGACTGCTCAAGGGCACTAAGGGTGAGACTTGGAGGCCGCCGGTCGCCGTGTAGCCACAGCACTGGCCCTTTTCCAGCCGTGTGCTCCTGTTGCTGCTGCTGGTGCTCTCTGCAGTTAGCGTCTCCCCCAAGCAGAGAGGCGTCCCGGGCTTCTTGTGTCTCCTCCAGCAGTCGCTCTGAATCTCGCGACAAAGACGGCGAATTGTTGCACGCTGCATCTTTTCGCTGCCTCCTGCACGAGCATCGGCGTGTCCTGCAACAGCAGCGGCATCTGCTGCTGTTGCTGCGGTTGCTGGTGCTGCTGCTCCTGCTGCTGAGGAGCCCAAGGCGTCGCTTGATACGAGCTATGAGTTCCTCTGGCCTTGCGTTTAGAATAATGTCCTCCTCTAGGCCGGTTAGGGCAGCAGACTCGGGAGCACTGTCTCTTCGGCTTCGTCGCTTTGCTGTTGCTGGCGCTGCTACTGTTTTCGTGGGAATGTTGAAGATAGACGACCCGAGAGTCACGCCGGCGGAAGAATCCACGAGAGACTGGGAATCCTGAAGCTCCTTGGGCCCGTCTTCCAGCAGAAACTGTGCAGCGCCAGCACAACAGCAGCAACATAGCAGCAGCGCATCAACAGCAGCGGGTTAAGCAGTTCAGAAACAGCCCTGCACAGGGCTACTGCGCAAACATAGTGTGCCCTGGAATTTTTGCACTGTGGTTTTAATCATTAAACAGGCAGAAGGTCAGTGCCACTTACCGCAGAAGAGCAGTTGAGCCACTGGCTTATCAAAGACTCCGTCTTGCTGCTGCCACTGCCTTTGCTGCATCCAAGCAGCAGCTCTCTATTCAACCCTTGCTGCAATGACGCTCCTCCAGCCTGCAGCACCAGCAACGTAGCACTATATCATCGAAAACATAGTGCAAGCGGAGCATAATTTCCGATAAAGACGCATGCGTCTGATTCTGCAGCTGCAGGTATGGCGGCAGCATGCACGATATAGGCAAGGAGCCCTACGGTATTAAAAATGTCTTCTGCCTTCTCTGCCTTCGCCTTGGGAGACACGGTACGGTCGAGGGAGGCAGACGGCGTCTGATCATTCCCCAACTTCCTGCGGTCCCTCGTGCTGCTGTTACTGCGAATGCTGCCGTTGCTGCGGCTGCGCCGTCTGGTACGCCCTGGCCGTTCCCCGTGACGATGCCTGCTTTTGTTGACCTTTTTGAACGTGCTGTTGGTGCTGCTGCTGCTGGATCTGCTGTTGCTGCCAGAGGCGAGCCTTCTTGCTGCGCCACTGTGCTTTCTGCTGCCGCTGTGTTTGTTGCGGTGCTGCAGTCGCCGAGAGGTTCGCGATGTCCGGCGGAGCCGCTGCCAACCCCAGGGGTTGCTGCTGCTAACCTCGCTGTTGTTGCTGCTGCTGCTGCTGCTCATCTCTGCGGCCACGCGTCTTCGCACGCGAGAAACGATTCTTTCGACAATGTGCTGCGGGGTGTCGCTGTCAAGAATGCTGCTGTGGGGCTCTATTGGCGTGCCGTTGTTGCTGCTTTTTGTTTTCAGTTGCGTTGTTGTTGCGGCTACTGCTGGCGCTGCTACAGTTACTGCTGCTGCCCTGGCATTTGCTGGTGTTGCTGTTGCTGCACGGAGAGCCTCTCTAGCGGACAGCATCCTGCACGCTGCTGCTGAGACGCCTGTCGCACCACGAGCCTCCTGCTTGGCGCTGCTGTTGAGGGAGATGGGGGGTGCAGCGTGAAGACTGTCATTTCCCGCTGCAGCTGCTGGCGTCCGGACTCCCCTTGCTGCTGCTGCTGCAGCTGCTTCTGCTGCAGCAACCCCCTGTGGAGCTGCCGCGTCGCGCGCAGGCAGTGCCCGTCTGCCCTCTATTGCGAAGATAAGACGTACACCGCCTAGGTCTTGATTTTTATGTGCAAGAGGCCTCTGCAGCACCTGCGACGGCTGCAGCTGAGGGTGCTGCTGCTGCTGCTGCCTTGAAGCATGCCTGCGCTCTCGCCGGGCGAATTCGGTGCGGGCCTCAACACGCCTTGCCGTTTGTGCTGCAGCAGCATCATCGTTGCTGGCACTGTTCCTCCTCTGAAGTGTACCGCGTCGCATTCGAGAAAAAGTTGCACTGCTGCTGCCGCTGCTGACCCCGTGGGCTGGGGCTCCAGCGGCAGGCAGAACGTAGACCGATTGCCCATCCGCATTCATCTTCTGTCGCTGCTGCTGCTGTTCCTGCCGCAGCAGTGGTGACGATTTGGAGAAGTGCACTGCATTCTACTGCATGCCATGCTGCCTGCTAGATGCTACTGCTACTGCTGCTGCTGTGGCTGGCGGCCATACACTAGCGTTGTTTGTGGAAGGCATTCCTCCGCTGCAGGTGCTGCTGCTGGTGTGTTGCAAATTCAGTCTGGACCCCCGGATTCTCGGGGTATCATGCCGCTTCCCAAACCGAAAGAAAAGCAGCAGTCGCAGGTGAGTTCATCTGTCAGCCGAGAAGCTTCCGCTGCAGCTACAGGGGCCGGCGCAGTTCGGTTGCACCAGCAGGGGACCCGCAATAACGCAGAAATGGCCTAAGACGCGGTGCTAAGGTGCGTGGACAGACAATGAAAAACGCCCCGAAAATGGTGACGTGCTGCGTAGCTAAAATGAGCAGCAGATGCCCCGGGGCCTCGTGGGCCCCGCTAAGGTGCTGCAGTTTTCGTACACTTGCCAATTTCTCTAAATATAGCCACTTTCACAGACGAGTGTGAGTCTGGTGTTGGGTGTAGAGGCCCCTAAGCGTACTGTCAGGCCACCAGGAGATAATTTTACGGGAGCAAGCGGTGGGGTCTGTGGGAATCTGTGTTCCTACGCGTGTACTAAACATTCCAAAGACGGTGCCGAAGAGCTTTGGCACACAAAAAAACTGAAAATAGTGCAAATTGACGGGGAAAAGTCAAAAAAAGATATAAAGTCGAGGCTAAGTGTCTAAGGAGGAAACGCAGGAAAGGAGGGCCCCAGCACGCGTGACGACTGCAGCCGACCAACACTAGCTTCCCTACAGGAACCAGAGCGTACGACAACGGGATATACAGGGACAACTTGCCCCAAGAGAAACAACTGGCGGTGTTAATTAAGCCTTTGACACGCAATAAAAATATTGTTCCAAGGCTCTGAGTTTGCACTCGAACGAAAATGCCCTTACGTGCTGGCTCCTTAAGTTCAAGCAGAAACAAAGACGGCGCTTGATTGCTAACTTCAAGCCCTTAAAGCCTGGGACCCAAATTTTAAATTAAGGGAGTAGGTCTTATACTGTAACCATGTGAAGCTTGTACAGGCCTATGCCTATGGAGGGCTATGCAGAGAGTGGTGTACTATCAACATAAAAGGGAATTATTAGGTGAATGGGGTCTTGCGGCTAAAGTTGCCAGTCTGCTTCTCACCTGAATGCTTCCACGGGAAGTGGGAGGGGGTGGGACAACGTCAAGAGATGCCGAGCACTATTACTGAGTCCCCCAATGCACGACTGGTGTGGACGCTGCAGGAGTTGCAGTTGAGAGTATTTACTGTGCAGAATAAAATAGATGAATTAGATATACTAGAGTATTGTGTTTATTAATCCAAAGTGAGCGTCTGCAGAAGAATCACGCAAGAATTCATCTCGCTGCTTGCTGTAGCTTGCCTATTCAACTATTCGGCTGTTCACTAGTAAGTCACATGGCGAGTGCACTGGCGTGAGACCTATGTTGCAGGCCAAGCACATTTTGAATCGCCAAGAAACCTGCGTTTCCACATAAGATATAGCAAATAATTACCAACTCCACGTATGCCTATGCACACCATAACGATACCTGCCAGGCGCCGAGTCGCTGCCTTCAGCACCGCTGTCCTCCACATCCCGTCAGGAAGGCAAATAACATCGATGCGCTTCATCGCAGCATGGTCCAACTATTCAGCTACTCAGCAGTTTAGCAGTAAGCCGAATGACAACTGCATTGACATACCACCGATGTGCCGTGGTAAGCACATTTTGCATTGCTAATAATCCTGCTCCTCCACATTCGCAAAATGCAAACCAACCAGCAGCCACGCTATTCCCCTAGAGCGGTGCCTTTGCTCTAGGCTGGGGAGCGCTGTTACCGGCATTTGAATACACGTCTGTATTTTTGGTGCAATTGCAAGTATAGGACCAGACGTGTTGTGTGGGGAATTGAGCCCAATGAACGGAACAAAGCGTATAGACAAGAAAATGCTTACCTGTTCAAATGTAGGAGTGAATTTGCCACAGGGGGGCATCGACTCAGGATTCGTCACATAATCCTTTGGCAGAAAGGCTGTAAACGATGCAGCTGAGGCGCAGCGGTGCACGAACTAGCCTGCCAACTGCATTGATGGAGACGGAGAAAACCTGGCAAACAGGAATAAACGCGCAATGGCTGGGCAATAATTTTATTATTATTCCTTTTTCTGCATTGCATTATTTCTGTAATATGTCCCTTCCTCGGTTGCCCGCTCCATGGACCCTCCGCCACTTCCCTCTCCAATATTTCTTGGAAGATGAAACGGGATTGTCTGCATGGCAGTGCTTAGGCGCCAATCCAAACCAAGTCTACTAATAATTCTCCCTCTGCAGTGACTGAGGCAGGCTTGGAAGGCGGATGTTCATATCTCAAGTCAGTGTTGTTTATGGGGAATGAGAAAAGGCTCCTAGCAGTGCATGCTTTTAGTCCGTACCGTAAATCCAACCTAAATTCGTCGGGAAGTTTTGTAAGGCCTATCTGTGCGGAAGCTCGTCGTTGTGATGTGTGATGGTGCAAGAGCTCTTGTCGAGCTCTGGTTAAAATTACGGAACCATTCATTCAATTACTTCCAATGATGCTGCCAACACGCACAGCTCGTGTGGGGAAAGCTCAAAAAAAATTATGGCATTCATAGCCACTAAAATTCCCCTACTGGCTTGCTCCACGTCGTCAACGCACTGGGCAGAAAGGAAAAAGTTTCACTTCTGAACTGTCACCGGCCTAACAGCAAAACTTAGGAAGAGACTCGCCGGAGGATTTCGTCCTCGAAATCCTGTCGTAGTTCAGAGGCATTTGCCCTAGCCGGCTGTTTCAACGAATTGTCCTTGCGATTGTTGCAAATCTTCGATAATTCCATAATCTTCTACGACAACCCCCTCTGGGTTCTTACAAACGTTGGTGCCGTCCAGTTCGTTTAACCCCTCCTTTTCTTGAGGGGGAGGGCCTCGGCCTGCAACACGTCACCGGAGTCAACGAGGCTTCTATTTCAACTGATAGTCCATGGTAGCGACGACGTTTCCGGCGATGACCCCTTCCACCCAAGCTCCTAACCGTCCTTCTTTGTTTATCCGGCTCGTCTACTTTCACTGGCAGGGCTTCGACGACGAAAACTGCCACGCAGGCAACCCTGGGAGTGAAGGAGCCGACGGGGCAGATTAGACACACCAACTTGCAAGGTCGACCAGAACTCATAATAGTCAGATGCCATACTGGTTGCGTTGAGCAGCCCCGTATAGCTAGGAGCCGTTACCTCGCGTACCGCCATTACCAATGTAGAGACTGCACTAAGCAACAGTTGCCGCTCCGGTTCCCTCAAAGACCACAAGGCGAAAACGGCTGACAATACATCGGCTTCCAGCAGAGACCCCTTCTTATTGGCGACCTTCCCATGCTTTGTGCTTTGCAGACTATGCAAACTAGTACTAGCCAAAGGCGCCCATTTTTGATTTTTTTTATTTTGTAGGGCTTGCAGAGTAAGGGGAGTATAGCTTAACCACGACTACACGTTGGGGCCTGCGCTCGGCACACTGTAGTGCTTTGGGCTCAGGATGCACGCCAACTTCTTGTCTCTTAGCCGCAGTTCCTTTCGAAGTTCAGTTATGGGTTTGGCTTAGCGCCCCTTCCCCTTTTTTGCGGCGAGAGCTATGAACGACCCGTTTGTGGAGGACTGGCTGCTCTGTGTACCACCTTAAGGTGTGTAGAAGTGGTTAGCCGAGCTGAACTAGTATTCTGCATCCTTCACATCTCCTTGCCTAACCCACCTGTTCAGCAAGTTGTCCCTCCGACTGTCGCAGATCAGGTGGCTGGGCAAAATGCTTCCCCACTATGACGAGATTTCGAGAACGAAATCCCCCACTGAGTCATTGCCGTGTAGCCGGCCAAATTTCAGAACACGAACTTGTCCTTTTCTGAATTTCACTTGCTCGTTTGCGCCCCCAGGATACTAAAATCCAGGAAAGAAAAAGTTTCTTCTACGAAATTTCGCCGGCTGAACGACAAAACTTCGAGGACGGTTTCTAATAAGCGGCATAATGGGCATCAGCAACAAGGTCCCCACAACGCACAGCACCACGAGCAGAGGCAGCAGTTTCACACACCCTAGCTAGCTCGGACTTAGCCACCTCCTCCAATATAATATGTTCCATCATTTGGAAGTTAATGACTGGACAAATCGTGCCAGGTCCATACGCTCCTGCAAACCCGCTCATCGCGCAAGTGACCCAGCGGGTTGCTCGCTCCGACCCGGTGGCCCCGAAGGCCAAGGCCAGGGCCCCTTCCACTTTCAAGGAATGGGAATCAATACCGAACGTTTCTTCTAGCTCGTATCTGCAGTTCACGCTCCAATAAGGTAGGTGCAAAGCAATTGTCTGCCAGCGAGCTAGCGACAGTACAAACGAACTTCCCGAAGATAACCTTGAAAATGTTGAGGGCTGCCATGCGTTCAATTCCAATCTTTGGGCGTCCTTGAATCCCCTTGCAGTCTGTCCATGGGGAAGCCTGTTTAACTCAAGCCCAGGCGGTGCATTTCCCATTCCACGGAAGTGTCTCCGGTAACACAGAATTCCTGGCAACAATGGCTGCACCGCCCACTTCGAGGTACCGTTTGCCCCGGTATCGTGCACGGATTAAAGTTTGCTTTGCGGTGCTGCAACGAATGAACCTCATTCTACTTTGAGTTAGCAACTGGCTTCTACGACTATATCTGTGTGTGTACCTGACATGGGCCGGAGCTACTTGACTAGCCTAGGCCGCTGCGCCACCAACTTGATCAAGCCCAAGGTCTGGTGCGACTCCCCGAAAAGGAATACCAAATTTCTAAAATGGGACCTTCCG